CTTTTTAATCCTTTGTGAATGAGATGAAAGATACCAACCCTTAAGATACTATTTTGCATCTACTTTCAGGACAGTCCTTTAATAAAGGCTCATTTGTGATGAACATATATATTTGAAGCGACGTTTTTGAGAGGGGAAACATCCTTACAAATGAAAGACATAAGTGTCTTTGTTTATATAATGAACCTACAATACATAAAGCATTTTCACATTTCTACACTCATTAGGTTTAAGCTCACTGGAGTCTGAGAGTTAACTGTGAGACAGGCCTAGACAGTTGTTATTCCTGTTTTACAATTGAGGAAATTGAGGCACAGATTTGATGGCTTGCCAGAATATTCAGACAGTAGTTAGAGGTGGTATGAAAATGTAACCGTTTGATTCCTTACCCAGAACTTCACTATGGAGAGAAAGAAAAACACAATAATGTTTGTTCCTACTTAACAAAATCATGCATGGGCTGGTTTTGGGAATTCTATATGTAAACATTTATTTGCTTCACCAATAAACACCTCTTTTCTTGATACTGTTGTACAGGAAGATAATTTTGCCAAACCTATTATGCTGTATTTAATGAGCATTCTTCTATGCGGTTTTACATGTCTAAGCTTTTTTCACAATAAAGAACCTTTCCTTAATAAATCAAGGTCAGCCACATATACAATGAGTACAGCATTATACTTTAATACAGTATAAGTTATGCTATTATGATGTCATTGAACACTGTTAAAATAAGAAAGATAGTCTGCCCCTGCCTTGAATAACCACACACCACTGGGTTTCCTACTTTGGCTTGTATAGTTATTATAGCTCCTCTTTTAGAGTCAGCTGTGTATTTCTTCTGCTGTCATAACTTCAGCCTCTATAAGTACCCATCCCTTCCACCAATTTGCTCCTTCTAACTTTCAATGTAGACTGGGATATCAGAAAATTAAGTTTATTAGGCTTGAGAGTCTTTCTATTTAGTAAAGTACAAAAGCTATAATTTGCATTTTCTTGTCTGTTTATGGTCTTTATCTTCCATGTAATGCTCAATGATACTTGAGTACAAAATAACACACCTTCAATTTATGTGTATAGCACAAACCCTGATAAATTGTTTATTGAAAAGATCTGACTTTTCTTTAAATAATTGTTTCTTTAAAGGTTATCTTTGTTTCCCAACACAATATTAGGATCCTATTTCATGAATACAGAATAATGACCCAAACATTACACTTAAAAAAATTTCACAGAGAAATACAGGTTAAATAATTCAGAAAAAAGCGCAAAGAATAAGTAAACACGAATCTTTCCACTAAAGCAATTCTTTGTAATCCAATAAGTGATACACAAAATATGCTATAATAACAGCATTGAATCACACAGGAAATAAGTTTAAATGGCTCAAAAGAAAAGGACTTTATTGAAAGTAATACAAGCTAGAAAACACAGGACATTTTTCTAACATATAGCCTGTGTATAGTTTTCATTTCTTAAAATATTAGTCATAAATTTAAAATATACCTTATAATTTAAAAAGAAAAATTAAGTAAAAAACAAGAGATCAACAGAAAATGACTTAGTTTGAACTTAAAACATATTTCCTGTCTCAATAATCACAAACCATTATTGATGAAATCCAGTTTTAACCAAAGAATTTGATTAATGATGACAAGGCCTATGAAAACAATCCCTTGTTATGTGACTAAAAAAGGTAAGTTACATGACATACTACTGCCAAAATGAGGTTAAAATCTATGCCACTAAATTGATGTTAATAAAAAATGTTTTTCCTATTGGCATTATGTAAGAAACTGGGGAATCAGATGTTTTTATTTTTACTATTGAGTTTCACAATAGCACACTTAGAATATCACTGATTTATTTCTACATTTAATCATTTTCTTCTATTTTAATCTTACACCACTGAATTAATAGGGTTAAAGAACAGGCTACATTGTATAGCATAACTAACTGGCCTTGAATAGTCACAGCAGCACTAGTAAGAATTTACCATGTGCTAGGCACTGTTAGAAGCATTTTCCTGTATTAACTCCTTAGTCCTCACAACAACCCTATGAGATAAATACTACAATCATCTCATTTACAGGTGAGGAAGCTGAGGTTTATAAGTAGCTTTCCTAGAGTCACAACAGTGAAGTCCACATACTAACAAAGGTATTTGACTTCCTGTCACTAAACTAGATTACCTCCTATTTTACAGTACTTTTAGTACTTTATATTTCCTAAGTTCCATCTCTCCACACCACCACCACCACCACCACCACCACCACCTACCTTAAAATAAAACAAAAAGAAACCATTGGAGAACTTACCAACACCTTCAAATTCTTTAAGATAAAATCTATCTATGCAAAGGTATACGAATGGCCAAGTAGTAACATGATTTGTTGACAGGTCTCAGTAGTACAGTATGTAAGAAAGGACAGCCCAAAAACATTTCTTCTAAATTGTCATACATTTCCTCTAAATTTTAACAAGTAATGCTAACATAAACAATATCTTTAACCAGTATTTGAGTGTCTATGTAATTTTTAAATGAGAATCAAAACAAATCCCCTTCCACTACCTCCAACCTTCCAAAAAGCTCAAGTAAACTCCCAACAAAACCCCTATATTTAGTTATGATAAAAACCAATTTAAAATCCCCCAACACATTAAAGTGCTTTACTTTTGCTCTCACTTGCATTTTAAACCCAAAGAAGCTCAAATAAAAGTAGCCTTTGCAATGCTTAAGCAAAAAATCCTTAGGCAAAAAAATGTCTTTTGTTTTTGTTTTTTTGAGACAGTTTCGCTCTTGTTACCCAGGCTGGAGTGCAATGGTGCGATCTCAGCTCACCGCAACCTCCACCTCCTGAGTTCAGGCAATTCTCCTGCCTCAGCCTCCCGAGTAGCTGGGATTACAGGTGTGCGCCACCATGCCCTGCTAATTTTTTTTATTTTCAGTAGAGACGGGGTTTCACCATGTTGATCAGGATGGTCTTGATCTTTTGACCTCGTGATCCACCTGCCTCTGCCTCCCAAAGTGCTGGGATTACAAGCGTGAGCCACCGTGCCCGGCCCCAAAAAATGTCTTTAAACAGCCCACAGACTATTACATTTCTTCCAGCAAAGTAGATAGAAATTTTTATTTCATTTTTTCTTAACATTTAATGGAGTTTTTTTTAAAAAAGAGTACAAACAAAGAAAACAAAATCTAGGGCCTGGAAAAAATGAGGACTACTGTAACTGAAAGAACAGCATCAAGAGGCAAATAACGTCTTTCAAGTAAATTTTCTTAAAAAACAGAACACCCCACACTCCCCGTGAAAAGGAAATGACATATTAAATATAAAGACCTGAATTTACTACATACTTTTGTACATATTTTTGCAGTATTGACATTTCAACAATATTCAGAATAGCAATATTTTTCTATTATAGCATGTTTACTTAAAATTCATTTTGATAATTTTAAAAATTAAGCTATATTTTAAAATCTAATGGCTTCTTGCATACCGTGAACATACTTGATATGATTTGTGTGAGAAATCACTACAAGCATTTCAGATTGTTTACAAAAAAAGAGAACTATATCCAGGTCAAAGACTCAAGGGAATTTAATTACTCCATTGTCACCAAATGGTTATAACCACTTCAGATATAATTAGCTGTCAATATTTAGGTTTGATCAACTACATTCTTCTTTAGGTACGAGATAATTTCTTTACATTCCCATTAGAAATTAAGCTGGCTAAAAACTTCACCCCCCCCCCAAAAAAAAAATCTAAGAAAATGTTTACCACAATATAGACTTTTTAAATACTCCAGATGAAATTAACATCTTTGAGAGAAAAAGCATATATTCATATGTTTCAGAATGTTTGTACAAACAAAATCCAGCTTAACTTTTAGTAAGTGACTGAATACTACTATATTAAACAGACTATAAACTTTAAAACTAAAGATATAAGCACAAATAAAGGGAATTGCGGTAGAGGCTAAAAGAGCTAAGGTACTAACAACAAAAGACCTGATTCTTCTGATTCTGAAGCAGATTCCATAATTACCAGAACCAAATAAACAAACGATCTTGGGCAGAAGAAAATAGCGAGAAATAACAACTCTGAAATAAAGAGGCCAACACACACTGACAGAATATCCAATTTTGCACAATTCTCCATAAACCTGAAATAAACTATGACTTTAACTGGAACACCATCACTGTTATTATGGGGGCATCTTACATCAATTAATGGACACCAAATGTCAATATAACCTACAAATCTCGATAATAAACTTTAAGAATAATGTGAAATTATAGAAAAAAATAATATTTTTGTAATGCCTGAAAACTTGAGTAAGCAAGAAATAAGACCAATGATACAGATTTTTAAAAAGAGTCATAGTTTTCAAAGTACATAGAGTCAAAGTAATATTTGGAAAACTCTTATATAACAGACTGATCTAATTCTGAAAGGTTAGTGTCATATACTGTATAAGAGATGACTAAAACTGGTTTGGTGCCCTTACATAATTATATATTTTACTGTTGCTACTGTTAGAAAAAAGAAGGGGGCTAATTTTTGTTATTTCTGGCAAAACATTTACAGGTGGAAACTGGCTTAGAAACTGGTGTTTTTGGCCGGGCGCGGTGGCTCACGCCTGTAATCCTAGTACTTTGGGAGGCCGAGGTGGGTGGATCACCTGAGGTCAGGAGTTCAAGACCAGCCTGGCCATCATGGTGAGACCGCATCTTAAACAAAAAAAAAAAAGAAATGTGTTTTTGACACCATCAAGAACAAATCGACATACTCAAATATTGCAACCAAAAAAATATTTTCTTCATGTTCATACCAAAACCTTTTCTAACCTACCTCTCCATTCAAGAAAGGACATTTTAATAACACAGTGGAAGGAGAAATATTAATAGAAGCATATTTTAGTAAGTACTACTCCAATTAACAGTAAGAAAAGGCAGTGACTCTTAGAGAAATCTCTTCTTACAGTTTACTTACCTCCGCTGACTGCATCTTGCTCTTCCCCTTCAGGAAATGCAACCTGGTTTGGCAAGCTATTCCTAGATCGAGTGACTGTCTCTAACTGGGAAGCCCGTCCTAATAAAGATAGCTCATCTAGCACCTCTCCCTCTTTGGCCTCAAGATCTGATTTTGAAGTGGTTAAGGGCTTTATACTTTCAGGTGCCATTAACCTGTTTGAGTCATTCAAACATGCTACTGTGCCACTGTCCAGGCTCAACACTCGGGCACGAGTCTTGGCACTATTTGTGCTAGAAGTCCGTCGTGTTGCACGCTTTTTGCCAGTTCCTTCAGGACCCAAATGAGCTTTGTGTGTATGTTCAGAGTCTGTGCCCCTTTCTTTATGAGTGTGTTTTGTCTTTAGAGCACTGTATCTACCTTCAGGAGACTGACAGGAATGAGAAGTGGTGCTAGACGAGCTATCACTGCTGAACTGGTGAGCAGACTGAACACTTGATGCTCTACTCAAGTCGCTTTGATCGCTAGAGTCCTCGTCATGACAAAATATAGCACTGCGTGGCTTGGTACCAGAAACACCTCGAAAGCAAACATAGTCCCTATGCCGACTTGAATCAAAACTGCTAGCCCGTTTTTTTCCTGTCCGCCTCCTGCCCGACTTGTGGGCAGAACCTGTCCGATGGATTACGCTAGAAGATTTCGGTCGAACATCCTCTTCCTTTTGCTTTCCACCAACATCTTTACACACTTTGGAATCCACAGAAACAGCTGACTTATCACTCTGCTCTTCTTTGTTTTCTGCAGTGTTCCCAGGTGGTCTGTCCCCTTGGGAAGTAAATTCATTTGCATGGGGATTTTTATTGGCTTCTTCAGATGCAGAGGTGCTGAGACCTCTCTGGTTGTGCATCTCATCAGAGGGGGTAGAGTCCTTGGCCTCGTGAACCCCACCGTTAGTACTCGCTTCCATGGCAATCTTTTCACTGCTAGTCCTTTTGACACCAGCATAGCTACTCTTTTCCTCTAGGCCTGCACAGCACTCTTTTTTCCTCCCACTTTTTGTTCCTGCTTTAGGAGATTCCTCATGCTCTGACAAAATGCTCTCTATGTGAGTTGAGCTGGTATGCTCGCTTTTATAGCTGCTGACAGTACTGTTAGTGTCCCGGTCTGTTCCACTGCAGTAGCTCTCAGTTGACCCACTACTCCGTGTGCTCAGGCTCCTCAAGCTGTCCATGCTTTTGTCTGCTTTCAAAGGTTTGCTCTTCCCACTTTTTGTGGGTGGCTGAGAAGTATTGATTTTCAAGTCACCAGCCAGCTGAACTTCCCCAGATAAACCAGAATTTTCCACCAAGGATTCTTTGGATCCAGAAAGAGGCTTGGAAGATTCTAACTCACTAACTGGATCTAACCCACGTCTTTGCTGATAAAGGGGAAAATCATTCAGTGACGTGTCTGGAAAAGCCACAGCAGAGCTAGAAGTCCGTGGTACACCTCGCGGCCGGTGGTCTTTTCTATAAGAGTGTGAGTGTAAAGGTACAAGAGAAGCTACTTCTGTGTCACAGGCACTGGACAGAGACTGATCAACATGGTGGTGGTGGCTATGACTTGGCAGGCTCACTTTGTCACTGAAGTCTCTTGGTAAGTCCTGTCCACAAGAGGATAAGGAAGGCTGAATGGAGATGAAGGAGTCATTGGAAACAAGACGAAAGAGCTTCCGATCAGTTGCCAAATCTGTTTCAAACACATATTTGGAAACGTTAAAATAAATGTATGATCTGCTTTTCTACTGTTTAACAATGGAAAGAATTCACTGCATACAGTAAATAAAGTATAAACAATTTCTCAAGTAGTTCGCCAAAGAGCTGGCTTCTGTTTCACAGCTGCACAAAGAAAGCATTCTACTCTTGAAATGAACTGAACTTCCAAATCTTTGGGTCTTCAGTTGGGCCCAGAAAGAGTTCTATAGACTATCAACAATAAAATAAGAGGCAACAAAGGATTATAGTTAAAACAGGCCTGGCTATGCAAGCTCTGTCTCCAACTTACTAACTAGGTAACTCTGGGTTACCCCTCTAAGTCTCTATTTCCTCATCTGTAAAACGTGACACCAACTTCACTGAGTCACAAGCAAGGAATAACTGAGTTAATGACATATACTGCTTGACACCATGCCGTCACCATCAAAGGTAGCTGTCATTATTTTACCTTACTAACATAATACTAAAGTCCTTTCAAAAAGCTAATGCGATTATTTTACAAATCAAGAAAACCTAATCAGAAACAAACAAAAACAGGCTGACCATTGCCCAAACAAGATATAATGATATAAGACATCTTGCTGTCCAGAATGGTTAAAACAGCAATAATTACAGAGCAAAATACTGCATTTTATCTTTCATTATTGGTATAGCGATTATAAAATACTTCATGAAAAAAATACTTTTCTTGTATCTCTAAGATCACTGCTGTAACCCTCCCTCTAGACCAGTGATTAGTAACTTATCATACATACTATATATATAAATGAAAATATAGATATAAATAAATGCATCTACACCTACCTACCTACATTGTCTTGGAATATAGCTTGACAACCAAGCTGCACAACAGCTGATTTTTTAATATACGTTTTGACAGACAAGGAGATTTGAACCTGCTATTAGTTCAATAAGAAGAAAAATTATTGGCTTATTTGTCATAGCTGCATAGACAAAGTACAATAACAGATTCTATAGTAAGTCTGAGTATTCCTAGTAGAATCTCAATGATCAAAGCAGACATTTCCCCCTAAAATTAAAATACATGAGTTACTAAAAATGTTTATATACATAAATCATGCTGCCATGTGTGTACCTATGCAACAATCTTGCATGTTCTTCACATGTACCCCAAAACCTAAAATGCAATTAAAAAAAATGTTTATAGACTTTTAAAAAATCTAAACGTAGATTTAGCTATGATTAATTAATTAAAAACTCACAGATAACCTCTGGAGTATACCATAAAATTGTAGCTTATAAATGTCCAATCATACTCTTTCTTACATTTTAAAGTTTTCAAGATAAGTAAAACCCATGTTCTTTATTATTTTACTACCACAGCTGCTACTGTAGTTGGGTTCTTATACCTTCTAAATATCAAAATTTAAAAGTTAGCTTTGTACTTTTTGTAGTACTAAATCATAGTTATTTTTTAAAAACTCTGTATCTCGAATAAGCAATTATGGGTTGGTGTGATATTCACACATTTCAAGGATATGAATTTTACAGAAAACTTAACGACTCTGAGCAAGTAACTGAAAATCCCTAAATCTAAGATAACAAAAGATTTTTTTAAATGCTAATGATCAAAACCAACTTCCTTCTGGGAAATTAATAAAACAGAAATGAAAGTATTTCATTTTAAAAGACACAGCCAAACTTACTTTAATACATGCACTTTTTTTCTATACTGCTAAACAAATATACCATAAAAGGTTTAATTTTGTCAGAAAGAATTTAGGTAGTTTCAGGAAATTTTCAAGTAAATACATTTTTTCTTACTGTTACCCATATGAAAAAAGATTATATCAAAGTTTAAGAGGCCCAAATCAACACAAAGAGATACTATTTTTCATTAACTCAAACTTTTTTTTGTTTTTCGTAATTGTTATTAGTGGCATTTAGAATAAGAAAGGCATACTGCTCATAGTGGTACCAACTGGTATAACCTTCTGTAAAGCAATCTGGCAATAAGGCCAAGAAACTTGAAAAGGTATTCTTACCTTCAAGGTAGGAAACTTGCTAAAAGACAAGAGTCAAATATGTGTACAAGGTTTTTAGCACAAAATTGTTTATGTCACATTATTATAAAAGTTCTTAAAGAACAGAAGTATAACAATGTCCTATAAATAATGGCTAAATAAGTTATGAAGTTTACTAATAATTTCATACAAGTACTAAAAACATTTTCAAAGACTATGTAATAACATGAGAAAATACTTAAGTGAAAAAGGTGGCACTATATAAAAAGTATAATTCCAGTTCTGTAAGTTTAAACGAATGCTAATGGCATATATGTGTATATTTTTATAAATGTAAAAAGTGATATGCCACAGATAGTCATAAGAAGAAACAACATCCTAATACATGCCAGAATAAGGTAAGTGAAAGAAGCCAGGCACATTAAAAAAACACATATGATTGCATTTATAGGAAATGTCCAGAATAGGCAAATTTATAGAAACAGAAAGTAAACTAGAGGTTGTCAGGAGCTGCTTGAAGAAGAAATGGGGAGTGTAATAGGTGCAGATTTCTTTCTGGGGTCATGAAAATGCTCTTGATTTAGACTGTGGTGATGGATGCACAATATTCTAAAAACCACTGAACTATATAAAAATAAAAAAATATGCCAAGAAAAATTAGTTTCTCAGTGGCAGAAGTGTAAATCACACTTTCTCTCTTCTGATCTCCCTCATCAATTGATTATGGATAGTAATCAATTATAGAAACATGCTGTTATTTCTCTTAAAACATCTTACAAAATCAAAATCCCTCCTTATCTTTACTTCCCCTGCTCACTATCACCTTTAAAAAATTCACGAAAAAAGTGGTCTATATTCACTTTGATTATTCTCCTCAAATTCTCTCTTTGGATTCCAGTTTAACTCCCCTAAGACTCTGTTTATCAAGGTCACCACCATCCTCTACCTTGTTCAATCCAATGGTCAAGTCTCAGTCTTTGTGTCACCTGACCTGTCAGCAGCACTTGACAAAGCTGGTCAATCCGTTCTCCTTGAATACAGGCATATAACAGTCTTGGTTTTCCTTTGATCTCACCAGTTGTTCCTACTCAGTCTCCTGGACTTCTTAAACTAAAGAGGCTCAGAATTCAGATCTTAAAACTTTTTACTTTGTCTTGCTGTCATTCAGGCTGGAGCACAGTAGTGCAATAATAGCTCACTGCAGCCTTGCTCTCCCAGGCTCAAGCAATCTTCCTGCCTCAGCCTCACAAGTAGCCGGGCCACAGGTGTATGCCACCACACCCAGATAATTTTTTGTATTTTTCTTAGAGACAAGGTTTCACCATGTTGCCCAGGCTGGTATTAAACTCCTGGTCTCAAGCAATCCTCCCACCTTGGCCTCTTAAAGTGCTAGTATTACAGGTGTAAGCCACCACACCTGGCTAGAACTTTTCATTTTTCTACCTATACTCCCTCTTTGTAAATCTCCTCCAGTTTTCTATCCCCCTGACAAACTAAAATTCAGAAATATTTGTAACTAGTTCCTCCGTTTTCTACCCAGTCCTCATACTCATATGGGGATGGTCTGAAGTTCTGATCTTGGATAGGGAAGACAAGAGTGAGAGGTAAGGAAACTAGATTATCTTAGAAGTGAAAAAGTTGAGGATACACCCCAATATCCTGTTTTCTCCCAGTCATCCTGAATGATGTGACAAAATGCCAACTAATCAACTATTAACAAACTAACTAAAAATCATTGTCCTGTAAATCCTGTAAATCCAAACCAGAGGAGAATGGCAAGAGTCCCAAATGATATTTAAGCCAGTATGAACATTTGCCACTAGGTGGCGCCAAACCCTAGCCAGGAAAAGGGATTTGAATCAAGAAGTCAGGCCACATAAACCCCAAGCAGCTAACCAGAAGGCTTGCCCTGATAGTTTATCAACTTCATAATACCCAACCCCTTAACTGACATGACTGATTTTGTTGACTGAGGAGGAGCAGATTTAAGATGGAGTGTAGTGGTGCAAACATGGCTCACTGCAGCCTGGATCTCCCAGGCTCAAGCAATCTTCCTGCCTCAGCCTCACGAGTAGCTGGGCCACATGTATGCCACCTGTGTTGTTGTTATTTATTCACTGACAACTACTGAATCTCAAACCCCCAACCTCTTACCTGAAATCTGGACCTCTCTATCTGCTCATTGCTGCGTACAGCACTGATATGCCTTGAACTGAACCCCCCACGCTCTCTCCACCTCGAATCTACTTCTTAGTCTTCCTCCTTTCAGTTAGCGGGGCCTTGTCCTCCCTGATGCTTAACTCAAAAGCCTTTAAGTCATCCATGACCAATACTTCTCTCACAGAGTATATCCAAATCCATAACCTATCTTCTTAGTATCTTCTATACAGTCAAACTACTTCTCATTACTCTGATCTGTGCTCTGGATTGCTGCACTAATCTGCTAAGTGAGCTCTCTGCTTCAACTTTTGCCCCTTTTAATATAGTCCTCAAAATAGATGCCAGAGTGATTCCAATGAAATGAAATACAATCCTTTAGCAGTTCCTTATCTCACTCTGAATTAAAATGCACCTTTAAAATGGCTTACAAAACTCCATACGGTTTGGCCCTTCACTTACTTTGAGCCAGCCACAATATTTCTCAAACCTGACAGGCACACTCGTGGTGTAGGGCTTTGTCCTTGCTGTTTCCTCTGTGTGGAGGAGGCCCCTCCCCTCAGATATCCTGAGCGCTCACTCCTTCTTCAGGTCTTAGCTCTCAGAAAGGTTTGCCTTCAACTACTCTACTTAAAATTAAAATTTCCCCAGTCCCCACCAATCCCTATCTTCTGTCTCTACTTACTACATATATGTTGATTTATACCAGTATGATTCCATATTAATAGTATGGAAGCCACATGAGGGTGGAACATTTTGTCCTTTTATTCACTGATTTATTTCCAGTACTTAAAAGAGTGCCAAGAGTACTCGACAATATTTGTTAAATGTTAAACATATGGAAAAATGTTACATGATAAAAGCAAGTTTTAAAACTAAATGAAAGTATTATAAATTTTAAAAAGCATAATTCAAAACTAGATTTGAATTACAGGACTGCCACTCTGTAGCTGTATGACTTTGAACAAGTTTCTTATAGCTTCTCTCTAAGCAATAACATGCTCATCTGTAAAGTGAGAATAATAACAGTACCAACTTCAAATGTTTATAGTGAAGAATAACTGGATGAATGCACATAAAATGCTTAGAAGAGGACTTAAACCAAGGGTTGACAAACTTAAGGCCAATGAAGCCAAATCCAGCCCTCAAACTTGTTTTTGTAAACCAAATTTTAGGAGAGCACAGCCATGCCCACTATTTTTGTATTGTTTATGACTTTTTTCACTTTACAATAGCAGAGTTGAGCAGCTGAGTAGCAAGAGAAACCACATGTCCTACACCAAGCTATTTGGTCCTTTACAGAAAAGTATCCTGACCCCAAACTTGGCCAACAGTAAGCACCCAGTGAATGGTAGACATCATTGTCTATGTTAATGCATAGCTGCAAGGGTAGATTTGTGTGTATATAATTCCCAACCTGCCAGACTATAAAAATCTTATTTACATATGGTACTTTCCAGATTATAAAATAAGACATAGAATCCCTAAACACAAGGGCACCAACCCCTCTAAGGTTATTATCTAGTTGTTGAGACACTGTGATGGTCTCATATTGTAGAAACGGATATTGGTATTCTCAAAGAAATTGATACTGATTGCTTGAGAGAGAGAGAGAGAGAGAGAGAGAGAGAGAGAGAGAGAGAGAGAGAGAAAGGGTCTCCCTCTGTTGCCCAGGCTGGAGTGCAGTGGCACTATCACATGCAGTGGCACTATCACAGCTTAGTGCTACCTCAACATCCTGGACTCATGTAATCCTCTCACCTCTCAGCCTCCCACACAGCTGAGACTATAGGCACACACCATCATGCCTGGATAATGTTTTTTATTATTTTTTGTGGAGATAGGCATCTTACTATGTTACCCATGCTGGATGTTTTTAAAAGTTTCCATAACACAAAGTACATTACATACATACGTACACACATACATTTATTTATTATTTATTTATTTATTTGAGACAGAGTCTCACTCTGTTCAGGAAGAACTGTAGTCACGCAATCTCGGCTCACTACGACCTACGCCTCCCAGGTTCAAGTGATTCTCATGTCTCAACTCCTGAGTAGCCAGGATTACAGGCGTGGATCACCACCCTGGATAATTTTTGTGTTTTTAGGAGAGACAAGGTTTCACCATGTTGCCAGGCTGGTCTCATCTGGCCTCAAGTGATCCACCCACCTCAGTCTCCCAAAGTACTGGGATTACAGGCATGAGCCACTGTGCCCAGCCCACACAGTACATTTAAAGGTCTCTTCAGTTTTAGGAATGGGGTATAGGGTTAAATAGGGCAGTCCACAGAAGCAAGGAAAGAATGACAGGGTACTGTAATTCCAAAGAAGCAGAGAGTTACAATAATAAACTTAAAATTCCAACTAACAGTAACAAAATATGCTTGTAAGAAATGAACTTGGGTAAAATATTAATGGGCAAATGTCCCAATTTAGTTATCTGTTTGTAGCCTCATAAACAAGTTTCATAATTAAAAATAAAAAATTTGTCAGCCTGTCTGCCCACCAAACATCACCTATAGGTTAATGAAAATAACAGGGTTATAACAGGGTGGCAATAGTGAGACAGGTTTCTAATCTATTTCTGGCTCGTTAATTATAGAACCTTGGATAATCTCCATTCGAAAATGAGGATGACATATCTGTTGCTGTATTTTTGAAAATTAGAAATCAAACATGAAAATGTGGTAGTTAAAATCAATCAGTAAAATTCAAAATATGATTTACAACGGAGTTGAAGAAGAAAAAAAAAATCACAAATAGCCAAAATTTCTATTAACAATCTACAACATCCATGCTGGTAACAGATGCACAGTTTCTCAGTAAGTCCAACAGCAAGTTATTTCTCTATGATATGGTTTAGGTATTGGTCTCCCTCCAAATTTCATGTTGATCCTCAGTGTTAGACATGGGACCTGGTGGGAGAGGTTTGAGTCACAAAGGTGGATCCTTAATGAATGGCTTGGTGCCATCTCTGCAGTAAGGAGTGAATTCTCAGTCTGTTAGTTCACACAAGAGCTGGCTGTTAAAGAGAGCATATATGGCACCCCTCTCCTCTCTCTCTCTTTCTCTTTCACCATGTGACGCACCAGTTCCTCTTCCCTTTCCATCATGATTGGAAGCTTCCTGAGGTTCTCACCAGAAGCAGATGCTGGCACCATGCTTCTTGTACAGCCTGAACCATGAGCCAATTATACCTCCTTTCTTTATAAGTCACCCAGTCTGAGGTATTTCTTTATAGCAATGCACATGGACTAAGACACTATGTCAAAACTTATTACTGTTTTTGCAGTTGGCAAGAGATGAAGCAGCTGGCATTTAGAGATCATACTGCATGGAAAATAATAGTTTCACATACTAGGTTATCCCTAAGCTGGGCTAGTTGGTCTGACCAACTAAAGTAATAGCAGATTCTTATCTCCCATCTCATATTCACTCTGGGGCACATGCTCACAGAACTTCTCTGTCCATGTTTATCTGACAGAATATGTATAACTGAGTTCCAGTAAGCTAAAAGCATATATAACTCTGTATAACTACCATTCCAGTAACATTTTATGTTTGTTTCCTTAAAAACCATATTAAATTGTTACAAACTTCTGCCAAATTCTACGCAGCATATTCTACAAATTCACTCTGATCACCACAGTATATGACATCATGGTAAAGAATAATGTTCTTACCTTGTTCTTCACTTCCTTCCTTACAAAGACTAGAACTTTGGCCCAGACTTAAACTGATATCATCAGAAGTCTTAGCAGTGTCAGTATCTCCTACAGAGAGAAACAAATGAGGACATTATATTAACAGCAAGGCTGCAGTGTGCAGGAAGTATTAATACAGCAAGGAGTACTGGTGTCTATCAACTAAAGCAGTTTTGTGTATCAAAGTTTACAATAATGGAAGATGCACTGAACTAACAGGAAGTATCATGGACTATAAGAGCACTTAATTATTCTCACAGAACTAAAACCCAAACAATATGGAAAGCTTCAAAGTGTAAACTAATAAAACTATTTCTTTAAAAACAAGTGGATTTTTAAAAGGAATGCAAATTATATAACAACTTGAACCAACATGAATTTCCTTCCCAGGGAAAATTAGTAACCTAAAAAACTGTAGGGTAGAAACAATATGAAATTATCTGAATAGAACAAATAGCAGAAAATAACTCGCTCTTTTTTGTGTCTCCTTGTTGCCCATATTCAACGGTTCACATCAAATTACTTAGTTTGCCATGAACTCCACTAAAATCCACGGAAGTGTTTTCCCTCAAAGGCAAGGAAATTTCTTATAAATCAAAACTTATATAATTCATGCAAGGTAATGTAAGTGGTCAAACACTTTTGTGAAATTTGGATGATGAAAGAGAACATGATGTAAGTCAAGCAACCTTTAATAAGATAAATACTTTTATCTATAAAATAATTTCAAGAATGATTTTTTTCATTACATTTGAATGTACAGTACTGTTATCTTCATTACAACCAAAATGAAAGGGAAAGTCCGGGGCAACTTTCAATTTAGATCACACGTACCTTTAATAGTTGCTGCTGTTCCGAGACGCGAGGAACCAGATCCGATCTGAAAACATGACATGAAGTAAGGTACTTGTTGGACAAGTTCTACTGGAGCCATGCAACCTGTCTGCTGTGGCACACGCTGTGCATGTCTTACTGATTTACCCAATCCCTCTGTGTGCTCAGGACTCATGCGGCCCACCCACGGCCAGATCCTCCAATCTCAAACAACTCACATCACACAATTATCGTCGTTTTTTATACTGCATCATGACATGCTCATGGTATAAACAAAAGCAAAACCAGGCATTATGTCTATCTGAAATAAATTTAGACTTCTTAGGGTATAAAAGGAAGGTTTGCAGGACAAATGTATTAACATATGCTACAAAGTGCAACACAAGTTATACCATCAAATCGTTAGTGTATCATTATGTACCTTCTTTAGTTACAGGCAAAAAGTAAGTACTTCTTTATAGAACTTGAAAAAATAAATCAATAAAAGTCTAAGGCATCCATGAAAAATGAATTTTTAGCACAAACTATAAATAGAGAACTAAAACCTGTTGAGCTTTTAGAGCTTATGTTCAAGACAGTTTAACACTTCCCAAAAATTTCACAGCCATTATTCATTATACTACCATGAAAATCATATAAATAAATACCACAAATTTCACAAACACATTAAGAAAACCAAAGATAACATAACAGTTACTAAATCAACAAGTCTTAGCAATTCTTCCTATAACTTGTTTTCATGGATTCAAAGAAGAAAACAGTCAAGCAAAGTTAACACTGTAAAATAAAATTAAGAACATTCATATAATACTTTATATTTTACACAGTCTTCCTCTTCATTGATTTGATTTAGCGGGTGTATATCAAAAGAAATACACTCAAAATATAGGTTAATGTTGACTTTGAAGGGGCATGAGGGCCTTTCTTCATCTGGATGGCAACGGAATGGGTGCACACAGATGTAAAAATTCACTTAGCTGTACACGTAAGGTGTGCACCATGCTGTACCAGTTATATGCCAGTGAAAAAGTAAATAAAAATAAGCATACATATATAGGTTGAAAATACAAATAAACTCTTGAGATAGCCAATAAAAAATAAGCTTTGTAATAATTTTGAACTATTTTATTAAGCTTGGTTCTTCTAGTTTTTCCTAATTTCTGCTTTCAATTAGCTACAAAAGACATTACAATTTGCCAGGAAGAAAAAAAACAAAAAGCATTTCATTGCAGAAGAAAGTTTCATTCTTACAACACCTGTTACATAAGTTATAAAATTAACAAATGCTCTTTTTCTACTAGAATTAAACATAACTTCCTAGACAGAAATTTAAAAACAAGAAAACAAAAACGTCATTTTATGCATATCATTCTAGGAATTTAAACTTTAAAAAAAAATTAGTATGTATATAGCAGTCATTTGCTCAGAAGCTCAAAGTATTCCCTTTCTCCTTTCTTAACAATCTCCTTATTTTGTTCCAAAATCGGTCATACACCTTCTGATCTATGAGAAGTATGCCCACTCCCGAACACTATCACCTCCAGATTTAGGTGAAAAACAACTCCTATTTCTTTTTTCTCTCTCTCTCTTTTTTTCCTTCTTTTTATAGAGATGGGGTTTCATCATGTTGACCAGGATGGTCTCAATCTCTTGACCTTGTGATCCGCCTGCGTTGGCCTCCCACAGTGCTAGGATTACAGGCGTGAGCCACCACGCCTGGCCCACCTCCTATTTCTTTAAGTCACTACTAGTTGAGTATTCTATTACCTGCTGACAAAAACCTTCTTAACAGATATAACAGAGTGGTTATTTTTATTCTTTATACTTTTCTGTATTATGCCTCCCCTCAAAATATCTAAGAATTATGACTATTTACATGTGAAATAACATGGCATCCAGAATATAAACTATAGTACACCCAAATGTGATGCATTCCCCGAAGTGTCACTGCAGAAAAACACTTAATGTTATTAATGCTCATGATACAACCAATTATGACATTATGTAGTATTCTCCTCTGCAAAAAGGAAAAAAGGTCTCCAAAAGACAACTGGAGAAATGTAGGCTTACTCTCTGAGGGTGTGATACTACCTACATTTGTCAAGAAGAAAGCCCAGGGTTAATTAAGAATACAAAACACACAGCCATATTCAAGAATTGAGGATGGGCATGGTGGCTCACGCCTGTAATCCCAGCACTTTGGGAGGCCAATGCTGGCAGATCATGAGGTCAGGAGTTTGAGGCCAGGCTGACTAACATGGTGAAACCCTGTCTCTACTAAAATACAAAAATTAGTTGGGCATGGTGGTGCATCCTTATAATCCCAGCTACTCGGGAGGCTGAGGCAGGACAATTGCTTGAACCTGGAAGGTGGAGGTTGCAGTGAGCTGAGATCACGCCACTAAACTCCAGCCTTGGTGACAGAGTGAGACTCTGTCTCAAAAAAAAAAAAAAATTGAATTATTTCATTCTATAAAAAGAGACTGAGAGAAGCCCAAGGCCGTAAAAAGAACAGGATCGAGGATAGTAACCCAATGCCTGTCTTCAAACAGGCATTGTAAAATTTGAAACTTAAAAAGTATCCATCTAAGGCTGGGCATGGTGGCTGGTATCTGTAATCCCTGGACTTTGGGAGGCTGAGACGGACAAGATCACCTGAGGTCAGGATTTCAAGGCCAGCCTGGCCAACACTGTGAACCCTGTCTCTACTAAAAATACAAATAAATTAGCCAGGCGTGGTGGCAGGCACCTGTAATCCCAGCTACTCGGGAGTCTGAGGCATGAGAATGGCTTGAACCCAGGAGGCGGACGTTGCAGTGAGGCAAGATTGCAGCAGTGCACTCCAGCCTGGATGACAGAGCAAGGTTCTAGCTCAGAAAAAAAAAGTATTAATCTAATTAATATGTCATAGCTCTTTTTACATTCTTTAAACAAACAAACAAAAATACTCTTCACACCTCCCATTCCATCAGCTGTTATGGAAGGAAGACAAATTTAAGAACCTACATGTTCTGTACTATAATAAATCACAACCAAAAGTCATTCACTTTTACTTTAAATCATGAACATGCTATTCAAATAGCGGCAAATCTTCTATCAAAATATATTAGAAAACAAGACCCTTTTCAAGATTTGATTCATACAGTGTTTTTCATAACATTGTTCTTAGGGCTACCAATGCAGAAGAGTAGAATACTACAGGACAGAGTCGGCAGAGTTATGTCTGCTATTTATTCATTTGTTAAATGAGAAGCTAGTTCTGATCTACCTGTAATGTTTTGTTATCTAGACACATAAAGATAATTAGCAATCATTAAAGTCAACTGTACACAAGGCAGTATATAAAACAGAAGAAAAAAAGAAATCTACTCTGTAGAGCCTTATAAACTGCCACATAAATAAGCACTCCATCTGCAAGAGAAAGGGTCAAAACCATATGGCGTTTGAAAATCTTGAGAGATGTAGGATAGTTACAAGAAGAGTTTAGTTAGACCAGAAAATAAGGAGGACTAAGTCTCTCTCTAGAACAGAAAGGAGAGAGAAGAGAAGAATGGTTTCAATCCACAAGCAGTGTCGTACGGTAACAGGAAGACTAGAGTGGGAAGTAAGGTCTAGTCTAGACCATGATATAAATCAGCTATTTCTTCTTCTGGATAATGAAAGGACTTACATAATGACCACTAAAACCTATAGTTATGTAAAGGTCTGCTATGAGAAGACCATGAATGTTTCTCACAAAGTTCATAGAATTTCACTCTATGCAGTGAAATAATCTGCTGAGAAGGACAGCAGATATATAGTCCCAGGAATAACTGGGACTTTGATTAGCGAACAGGTATTTAGGATGAATAAGAGAACTAGAGCAGCAAAGGTCCAGCTAAGTTCTGAAATAATACTTTAAGGGTTACCATTTTAATTTAAAGTTACACTGTAGAAAGACATTAAAATTAGTAAAAGCATATTTGTATTTTACTTTTAGCCTTACCATTAAACATCTTGAACACTGAGAGATTTTCAGCATTTGTTTGGCATTTGTTTTTATTTTTTGGTCACATTTAAACCAGAGGTAACCACAGACTTCTACATCTCTCCAATACAGATGACGTGAAGGTAGATAAGACAGTGCAAGCCAAAAGCTCAATTTCCTAAGGGTACTCACAACTGTCATGATCAAAACTATATACCCAAAGTTGAGTCTGTGGTAATGCTTAATGAGTATGTAATTAACTAATGTGAAAAGTAACTTTAAAAGAACATCAATAAAATACATTATTAATAAACAATTAAAAATTAATAATCAGAAAGATAAGACAAAATATCGGCTGATTTAAAGACATGAGAATAACTGAGACCACCATCAGGAGGAGGGAAAAAAGGCAAAATAAAACAGTACAGGTTCCTACCTGGTTGCTAGGATCTAGACCAGCATAAGAGTTTCTGGAACTGCAACCAACTGGGGGTGTGGCCTCTCGGATGAACTCAGACATCTCAATCCCTCCACCAGGATCACTGTGGAGATAAAAATGAGAAAAAGAGAACTGTCACTATTTTGCTTTTCTTTTGTTAATTTTTTAAGTTATACTTTTTTCCTGTAAAACTAAGAGGTTCTGATTTTTAATCAAGCAAACAGCAGAAAAGGTAAACAATGATCATTCTTCATTTATAAGTCTGATAATTGGAACTATTTTATAATAACATCACTATTTGAAAATATGTAAAACTTTCTTATTCCAAATGGTCTCTACATCCAATCCAACATTAGAAATAGGCCTTAATTACAATCATAGCAAACTAAATGTTATGATATGTGCCATCAAACCACTCGTACAAAGAAATGATTGCCTTTTGCTTCCCAAGAGCAAAGAGAAATTGTTCAATTGTAAACACAGAATGTAATCAGATACTATATTAACGAATCCCCGTGAGATCAGTCCGAATGAGCTGCACGATACAGTGATGTACACACAAGAGAACAGTCACCCTGGCCAAAAGCTATTTGTATCTGTATTTTTTCAGTAAACAGAATGTATCTAGAATACTAACTTGTTTTATAGAACTGGAAGCCTAAGATTTTAGATATGTACGTGTTCAGAAGGCCAAAGTTAAAAAAGGTAAGTGATACTCTGTAGTAACAACGTAGAAAGACAAAAGAGAAAAGTAGTAAAATCAAAGCACTGGAGAAGCACAAACACAGTATGTAAAGATAACAAGAACCCAGACTTCCAGGAAAAAAACCACAAACCAAATTTCACAAAACTTAGGAAATGCTACATGTCTCCTCAGGGAGACAACTCTTAGAACCTAAGTTATAATCCTACTTTTTGCTGTGCGCAGTGGCTCAGGCCTGTAATCCCAGAACTTTGGGAGGCCGGGGCAGGCAGATCACGAGGTCAGGAAATCAAGACCATCCTGGCCGACATGGCGAAACCCTGTCTCTACTAAAAATACAAAAAACTTAGGTGGGCGTGGTGGCATACGCCTGTAGTCCCAACTACTCAGGAGGCTGAGGCAGGAGAATTGCTAGAACCCAGGAGGCAGAGACTGCAGTGAGCTGAGATCGCACCACTGCACTACAGCCTGGGTGACAGTGCAAGACTCCATCTCAAATAAATTAATTAATTAAATTTAATTTAAAAAAATAAAATAAATCCTACTTGTTGCCCAGAGTTTTTCTCATTCTACCTGGTATAAACAGAGTAAGTATGCCGTAAGTTTTTAGCTGTTATTATCAGGATAAAAGTTACAGTACATGTGTTGAATATTACAGAGGAAATACCTTGCTATCTGGCATCCAATTCAACCTCCTGATTAGCAAAAAAAAAGAAAAAAAGCAACCCCAAATTCTTCAGGTAAACCACCTTATCCCAAACTCTCATAGGCTTTTGGGTAATGTTGACCCCACCCTCAGGTTTGGGAGTAGGCTCTACTGTCCAAAGTCATAAGCATATCCCATTCTTCTGGTCATTGAAATTAGCTCTATAATAAGCACAGGAAACAATCCAGGTGAGAGGAAATTTCTCTGTATCTACTACTCTTAATGTTGACACTTCAGGCCTGGAGCTGCTGCAGCCATCTTACAACCATAAGGAAGAGCCTGTTCTAAGAAGCCAACTAATGGAAAAGAACAGAGTCTGGCTAGAAGAAGAGAGGCGGGGACATGAAGTGACAGTTTGAAACATTGCATCCTGACACATCTGAAGACATCCCTCACATGCAGATTTTTCAGTCATGTGAGCAGTAAATTCCCTTAAGCCTTTTTGGGTATAGTATTCTGACAGCTACAATCAAAAGATATAAGCAAAATATAATTTTCCATTTAATAAGTATTTAACATTTAGTAGTTTGAATTCTAGTGTTTTTATTATCTATGATCTCACAATTAAAATGTCCCTGTTTGCTTAACAGGTTCCTAACTCTAAGCCATTGACTACAGTCAGCTAACTAAGATTCAATAAAGGAAGCTAACTTCCTAACTTACTATCCGTTTATGAAAATAAAATAGATTAGAACTCAGGAACACATGTAATGGTCAGTTCAGTATACAAACACTCATGTGAGAGAAATGTAGAACATAGCTCAAGTTTATAAGCTGTCTGGTATTAACTTATATAAGCTATGTAAGCCAAAAGTAGAAATTTTTCTAAACTGGAAAAACCTTAAGTGTGTATATAGAGGCACTATCACCACACTGCATTAGTAATGAATATTCAGCAATATTACTGTTTCTCCACTAGAATGCATCCACTAAGTGAGATCCAAAGAAATCAGAAGATGGAAAGCAAGGTACAGATTAAGAAATAAAATACTCAACAACACAGAAAGGAGAGAGAGCCCTCATCTTGCCTAGTCTATACACACACACACACACACACACACACACACACACACACAAACATATATACGTATTATATAATACAGATACATATATGCATCAACTTTATTGAAATATGATTCACATATCACACAATTCACCCTTTTAAGCTGTATAATTCAATGGTTTTTAGCCTATCATTAAATTATGAAACCACCACCAAAGCCAATTTTAGAGCATTTTTATGTTATCAAAACATAAAACCCTCAAACCCCTTTAACCATTACTACCCTTCCTTTCCATCCTCCTTAGCCCTAGACAACCATTAATCTACATTCTGTCTCTATAGATTTGCCTGTTCTGGACATTCTATATAAATGGAATTATATTTTATCTTTTGTGTCTGGCTTGTTTCGCTTAGCAAGTTTACAGGGTTCATCCATGCTGTAACATGAATCATGTATTTCATTCCTTTTTATAGCCAAATAATATTCCACTGTATGGATAAACCTATTTGTTTATCCAGCCATCAACGGATGGATAATCTTGCCTAGTTTTATACATCACTTCCGACAGCAAGTCCAAATTATTGCAATCTGAAGATACAGTTATTATTAATAATAAATAAAAACAGGCTGGGTGTGTGGTTCATGCCTTTAATCCCAGCACTTTGGGAGGCCAAGGCAGGCAGATCATTTGAGCCCAGGAGTTTGAAATCACACTGGGCAACATGACAGAACCCCATCTCTACAACAAAAATTATCCAGACGTGGTGGTATGTGCCTGTTCTCCCAGCAACTCAAGAAGCTGAGGTGGGCAGACAGATTTAGCCTGGGAGGTCAAGGCTGCAGTAAGCTGTGATTGCACCACTATATTCTAGCCTGGGCAATACAGCAAGACACTGTCTCAAAATAATAATAATAATAAATATTTACCAAGTACTTACTATATTCCAGTCATAGGAGTATGTGCTTTATTTGTATTTTCTGATGAAACTTGCCCAAGGTCTCAGAGGAGGAATGAAACATAAACAAGTCACTGGTAAATGGAGTTCAGGTGAAAGGGAAGGACAGAAATAATACCTCCTCAGCACTCTACAAAAAAGTTATCATATCTGTTCTTTCTTTATTTCCCACACACTTGAATATAGGTACTCATAACCAGCATGGCCTAAGATAAGGCTCAAAAACCAGGTCTGTGAAACTCTAAAGCCCACATTCTCACTTTTTGTTGCTGTTGTTTTTAAGAGACAGGGTCTCGCTCTGTCACCCCGGCTGGGGTGCGGTGGTGCAATCATAGCTCATTGCAGCCTCAAACTGCTGGGCTCAAGTGATCCTCCCACCTCAGTCTCCTGAATAGCTGGGACTACATGCACATGACGCCACACCCGGCTAATTTTTTATTTTTTGTAGAGACAGAGTCTCACTGTATTACCCAGGCTGCTCTCAAAATCCTGGCCTCAAGGGATCCTCCCACCTTGGCCTCCCAAAATGCTGGGACTACAGGTGTGAGCCACTGTGCGCGGCCCTCATTCTTTCCAAGAAAGCATACTGCCTTACACCAAATAGGCACTGAAGTTCTCTTTCCAGTTCAAAACCGAAAATAAACACCACTATTTAGAGCAGGGATTTTTAAACTCAGTACTGTTGACATTTTCAGGTCACATAATTCTTGACTGCATTGTAGGATGGCTAGTAGCATCTCTGGCCTTTACCCACTAGATGCCAGTAGCAACCCCCTCAGTGTGACAACCAAAAAAAAAAGCTCCAGACATTGCTAAATGTCCCTGGGGGGTGGGGGTGGGGGCAAAATTACCCACTCACCACCACTACCCACCCCCCGCCCCACTGAGAAATGATTTAGAACTAATGGTCAAAGATCAATATTGCATGGGAAGAAAGGAGACATCAAAGGAACAAGAAAGATGAAGGAAAAAATGGACAGCTACTTTTATTTAAAAACCCTCTAGTAATATTTCTGCACTTCTTTCTTCTCTATAAATTCAGAAGTAAAACTCCTAGCCAAGCTGTAGGTGTTCTAAATATAAACATATAAAATAACTGAGTAAGAGTTTTCTTTATTGGCAAGACTTGCAGGTTTGCAGAGATTTCAGCACATACCTGGAAAGCACAGTAGTTTATAACTCCCACAGAAGCAAAGTGGTCTACTGCAGTAAGCAATACACCAAATTCAGGTACTATCTACCTTTATGCCTTAACTTCCCCATCTGTTAAGAAAAAAAATAAACCTGGGACAGGCAGAAAAGCAGAAGGGATCTAATCTGAATTACAGAGAAGTCTTCACAAACTAATTTGTTGATTATTAGTATGAATAATACTAATGAAAATCATAAAGCTTAAGTAGTTCTGTTATACTTATTCATTTACACAATAAATTGAGAGGCACAACGTACCACACACCATGATAGGCTCTAGAGATACAAGTATTTATTTTCCTATTCATTTCTTTTCCTCCGAACAGAAGATAAGATTCGTAAGTGGGAGGGTGAGGAAAGGAGATGTCAAAAACAAAAACCTACAACAAAGATCTTAATAGTGAAACTTAAAAACGTTCTCTTTAAAGGTAATAAAAAAAGACAAAAATAATATTTTGAACTAACCATGTGCTAGAAATCATAGCCAGGGAAAAAAAATTACACAAGAAGTATAAGGACTAGAAAGAAATAAACAAAATTGTG